ACTCTATAAAAAATGTAGATTTTTTCCCCGGATAACACTGGGCCACGCTCGCCACATATAGTTTAATCAGTTTATTTTCACTTGAGAGTCTCGTGGACAACACCTTATCAGAATGTACGAAACGACCAGGTTAGAGAAATTTATCATTTAAGCCTAACCATTACATATTTTAAAACTAAGAACTAGAAGGAAGGCAATCAGTAGGTAGCACTCACCGCCTCAAGCAGCTACTCTTAACCGAATATCAGGATTCACCGTATCCCTTATGCACACACACACACACACACAAACACAAACATACATACATACATACATACAAACAAGTGTTTAACTGCAGAACAACTATTTCTACATGCCCATTTGAAACTAAATGAACAAACTTTTTTTTTTAAATCTAAACAACAATACAGTTTTGTAAATGATTCCTTAAAATATCAAAAATTACAACTGTATTATTATGCATTCTATCAAAAATAATTATAAAAATATCAGATTTGAATATCTTGAACTTAAAAACTATATTCTTTCCTATCTTTATTCATTGGTACTTTCAGGAACTATTTACTTAAAGTATTTGACATTATTTTCAATATAAATAATACCTTAAAAGTGTAGCTGAAAATTGTTAATACTAACAACAAGAAAACATCAGACAGGAAATTATAAGATGTGCTTTTATAATCACATAATTTTTATACATCTTCTGCACGCTAAATAAATTCCTTAGATTTGAGTTGCATTCTTTAACAAGCAAAAATGTACATAAATGTACTAATTAATGTTGTTTGTCCAAATTTCTAGAGTATTACAGGGTTCTATAATAATAATGCATAATGAATTAACATGAACAAGCCATGATACAAGTCAAAAGTAAAAATAAGACTTAAAACAGGAATAACATTGAAAGAAAATGTATCGTTCAAATGTTTCAATTTGTTTTTCCTGTTCAAAAAATTTTGGGTACTAGTTCTTTATTATACCATTCAGCATTATTATGCCTCTCAGATTATTATAGAACTTAACATCCTCCTCATGCTTTAATACTGAATCCATGAAAATAATTTTAACAGCTTGTATGTTTTGCCAGATATTGAGGTGATGGTTGTTTTTAAACACCCATATCACTAATTTTCAAACATCAACTACAAAAATAATATATATACACATACACACATATATACATAAGAGTACCTAATAAGATGCATAACTGAGATTAAAATATTGACAATTTGTTGAAATACTCTAACAAAATTGTTAGTTCTTTTATTATCCTTTTGCATCCTTCACAGACAAAGTTGTTTAGTCTGGTTTTTAAATGTGATGGCACAGGATCTACAAAAAAGGACCTCCCTAATCTTGAATTCCAACTGAAGTGTTAGGCAAGTTAGTTGGTGGTATAATTTTCAAACATCTATTACAACCAGCTATAACATTAGGTCAGCAGGATTTTGACCTACTAACATAAAATACAAGTAGTTCAGATAGAATATTATGTTAATATTAAATTAATAAACACACTGCTACTTGTCAAAAAGGTTAGCAACTCAATCAAATAATGTCATATGAATGGTCAACTGACTAAATGTACTTTTGACCAGTCAAATGCCCAAACCTGTTTTCCAATAAGATTATGTATGCCTAAAAGTTGACCTACAATATATATATACACATGTACATGTGATAACAGTTACCAAAGATAAGGTATGATGAGTCAATCATGAAAAATAGTATATTCTGTTTTTATTTCTCAGTCAGATCATGAGATGACAATTGTATAAGAGCAAAATTATTAAACCATAACACTGGTTTACTCATTTGTTTGACATTTCTGAGGCAAAAGTATTTCCCATGATTAAGTATTTTGTTTGTCACTTTTAACTAGAAATCTCAATGACAATATCAAACTTAATTTTAACAACACTTCTAACCTTTTTTGCATGCTTGAACTAAAATTCAACTAAGACTATTTTACCCTGAAATGTGAAAAAGAGTCTGACTGGACATATATTTTCACAAACTAACAGTTTTATGACAAAGTATTAATATATATAGTCTTTTTCTTGAAAACTATGGTTAATTGTATAGTTTATAAAGTATACATACATATATATCATCTATATATATACACACACACACACACACACACACAGAGGGTTGAGTACATTATATTAAAACAATTTTGAATATGCCAATAAGCAAATTACATGACAATCACAGCTGAAATAATGTCATGTACCAAAATTACATTTTGAGATTGTTTGGCATTTTGTAAGCAGTGTAATGGCACCAAAAACTGATTGCTTTTGGAAGAATATGTAACAGCCCTTTCCAACACAAAATATTTATAAACTCAGATCATAGATGTGTTCATATTGGGGATTTAGAGTTTTCAAGATGGGAATATACATTGCAGGTAATAGCATTCAAAAACAAAAGTAATAGGCCATACATGGTAAGTAAGGGTGTATTTTAACGTGTGAATCCATGAACACAAAAGTCAGTGACTAAAGCTGTCCTTGTGCCCCAAGCCACAATCCAGAACGATTGCCTTCACAAAAAGCAACACAAGTCATGTGTACACAAGTTGTTTCTACAACTAATCCATTCAATCATTGCATACATCAAGCCACCAGATTTAGTGCTTATGATTTTCTTTGTAATGAAACTGTTGAAATGGGCAATGGCATCATCATACACTACATAGCTTATGTAAAGCATGCTGAAAGGGATAGTGTACTCTGGACATGACAGACTTATGACTGAACCTTTTGCAATGGAACCTATGTTGCAGGGCTATTGTTAAGATGCATGGTTTTCTGAGCATGATTTGGCATGAAGAGGCTCAAAGATATTTTTAAAATAACATAATCAACCTTTATAAACAAACCCAGTAACTTCATTGCTTCCTTTGTCTGTAAACATTTTGGTAACCCAAACTTACTAGTCTCTCCTTCAAATATTGTATCAATACTATCAGATACAAAACTTTTTATGTCCATAATATGCATATATGCAACCCGGGTTAATTTCAGCAAGTACAAAATATTTGAAGTCTAAATAAATCAGCAAGATTTATTTACCAATGAGTGAACCCCCTGTCAATTCCAAGATTTTATTTAAGATCCCATTATACTATTAGAAACAAATGACAAGGACGATGGACTGAAAACACAAACCTAGACCAAAATCAAAGATAAAAATTTAATACTGATGGCTTAATTCCCACAAAATTAATTTCAGAACTCTCCATTAAACTCCCATAATGCTACATAATATCAGTCTTTTTAAACATAGACAAAATCTAATACTTCATCCTAAACTTCTATAATCAAAATGTCCACTGCTGGTCTGCAATAAAGTCAGCGTTTTATCTACCGGGCACAAGAAACTAAGATCCCCACCCCTCAACTACATTGCTTTCAAAATGTGTATAGGTATTTCATAATAAGTAACAGTCAAAACTGTTCATAAACTTTCCTCAAACTTAAGAGGACTCCCACTTTGGAAAACTATGATATAGGAACTACTTAACAAATTTATCACACACACAGTTAAATACAAACATTCTTTTGATAATACTAGTTCAAAAAATCATTAACAAGTACAATGTATAAAGTCACTAGAGTTCATAGTACAATGTTGTGTTTATGCAATACATCAATATTTGACAGGAAGTTAAGCAAACCTCTACCTAGATCAAAAGTTGCCTGAAGAAGTGGCATGAAAAGTCAGAATTGTATTTGCTACAAGTAGCTAAAGAAATTTTTTTGCAAAGATGATTCTGTAAGTTGTTTAAGTCCAATAAAATTTTTAAGAGATATCAAAATGATCAAGCAGCAGCAGACAACTGATGTAACAAATTCCAAAATATCCAAATCTATCCCCTATTTGAAAGAAATAAATGAAATCTTTCTGATCTATAAAAGTATTTCAACGAAACTTTACATCAAACTGAACTACCAGCACAGTAAAAATAGAACAAGCTTGAATCTAGGTTTCCAGAGTACTGTCAGTTTCATACTAACATTAAAGTTTCCACTTGAAAACTTTATCTTCTACAAAATACCAAAAGCTTCAAGTCAACATCGCTGTTTATTCTCACCCAGTTTAGCTTGTAGTAATTACTTACTACCCCTTGCTTTAAAAAGCAAGCTC